ACTGAACTCCACATTTCATCCATACAATTAATTCAAATAAAATGCTTTTGTTAGTTACTTCGTTTTCACATTAATTGATTAAAGATCCAGTAAATAAAATAGATCTGTATTTCTAAGGTAACTATTTCTTTCTTCCTTGTTGGCCATTCATGTCTCTTTGATCTTGCAGTTGCCATTATTTTGTCTTTAGTTGCATTTTTTCAAACTGTCTTCATTAGCTTAAAAACATATTAACTAGTGTAGTTGATGCCCTCACTATGGAGGAGAAAGCTTTCTTTGCTTCCGCTGTCTTCTGAGATCAATAGATGCATATGGCAACAAGAATTAATGTTGCAGTTCATAGTCTCAATTGAAGAACGTTTTCCTTTTTTTTTTATAGGAATGGTATGATCGCTTCTTAAAAATAAAAGAATAAAAATACAATTATAAAACCTGTAGTTTTATAAGATATTGCAAAAATGGTTTATATAGCAGAATAATTCCAACAGGAGTATCAAGATGGAGGATAGGGGCTGAGAAACAATTCTCAAATGAATACAAAATTAGGAAATTAAATAATATTTAAAAAAAAAAAAACTCTGAAGGACTCTTAGCTTTCTGCATGTCCCTAATAGCTGTTTGTTGTCTTACTTTTGGAAGTGATTATATATTACCTACATACATTATTTTATCCCAAATAATGTACCTTTAAGTACTCTTGCTGATCTCTTGGATGTATGGTGATTCAAGTAAATGTTTTGTTGCTGATCTGGATGTACAGTGATTCAAGTAGATGTTTTCAGTAAATGAGCAGTTTTATCTCCCTCCCTCTACCATTGTATAAACTATTTCCTCTTTGCACGACTCTTTTTAACAGGCTACCTGGCAGGTGGTGTAAGAACAAGCTTTTCTTACTCAACATTTCTGTACATGTGGTTAAAATCTTATCTGGTGGGGGTTGGTTGGTTGTTTTTATCTGCTGTTGCTTTTTAACCAATGTTAACTGTTGTCTCTACACAAGTCAGAATAAATCAAAATAATTTTTTGTTTTGTTTTTCTTTTCTCCTTGGCAGTCAGTGCTCTGCAGTAGTTATTACTGAAGTTGCTGTGTGCCCACAGGGAGGTCTGCATCATTCCTAGGGATGATGCTTGAGAAGGAAAAACAGTTGAGAGTTTTAGATCTGCTGAGTTTGAAAAGTTGTGAAATATCCTGTTGTTTGAAATGTGCACATCTTTTTTTGAAGTATATCATTGAAAGACTACTCATGAAGCCCCAAGAGGGCATGTTTAATCACTTGTTAAAATAGAATAGCATTAAGCCTTCACTTAATGAATGAGTCTGGTTGACAGTAAAGTCCTGCCGCCCCCCTCCCCCCCCATTTGAAATATTAGGAAATATTAATATGTATGTATTTTTAAAATAACCACTGGTAATTCATAGTTATACCTTCTGTGTTACCTTTATCTTGAATAATTTTTCACTTTGTGTCCATGATTGCCACTTGCATCTGTTTTCTGTAAGGTGTTCTGAGTTTTGGTAGTGTTTGAGGGTGATGAAACAGATCAGCTGTGCTTTACAGGAGAGCATTGGGAATTAATTGTCAGATGTCATGTAGATAAGCTTCTAGGTGGCAAGCAGAAGTAATTATATTAAGTTCATTGTTTCTAGAATACTTTTCTGTCTAGAAATGTAACATAAGCTGCACATAGTCTTCCTAATATAGGCTATTTTTTTTCTTCGTAATAGAGGCTCTGCAAGTAGGCTTAGTGATTGGAGATGGAAGAAGTTGTTAGCTCTGTAGCTGGAGATCAGTCAAATGTCAAAATGTTTTCATCCAATAAGTTCATTGAACTAGGTTCTTGGACAAAAATGACAGGTTATTTCTGGTTGGTTTGTTTGTTTGTTTTTTTCCTCTGACATCTGTTTCAGAACTGATACTTCTCAAGGATTTTACTCATCAATGAAGCAGTTTATGTATGTTTTGGTGTGTAATTTGCTATTTAAAAAACAAGATTAGAACAGTTCTTTTCTCCTGTGTCTTTAGCTTTTCCTCTGTGGATGTGACTGCCCAGAGGTTTTAATGCCAACATCAATTAGAAATCTATTATTTGAGGTCTAGTTGGCACTTGATGTGTTTACCTTCTTCTGCATGTCCACCTTCAAAAAGCTGTACTAAAGGTGCTGTGTTAGATTGTTTGGGGAGGGGAAGAATTTTAAGGCTGTTTTCTTAAAGTTTCTCAACTAAACTGAGGACCTGATCTGTATTTGTAACAATGACAAAGTTCTAAAGGCTAAAAGGCAGTGCTTCACAGGGGAAAAAAGTCTTCCATGTCGCTTTTCAGCATGGTTACCAAGTGCATTTTTTCTTTAAAGTTTTTTCTGAAAAATAGGTATGCTACCACAAAATATAGGCATTTTTGATGTAATTCAGTTTCATGATAATATCCTTAAAGATGAAGGTTGAATTGCTTTGATTAATAATCAAATGTAAAGCCTTCCTGACCATGGCTCTGAACAAAGAAATAACTCCTAATTCTTTCAGACGACAACATTTCTTGCTGTCATGGCTTCAGGGTATGATCATCTTATCTGACAAAGAGAAAGGGTGTTTGCCTGTTTCGTTAACAAAATCAATTAGAGAAACAATCAAGCAATGACTTGCTTCTAAAAATGTAATTTAGGCTTCCAAGACATTTAGATGCTTTTTGAACTTTTAGTAGCCAGATTGCCCATTAATCTCATGATCTATGGATCACTGTAACTCTCGGGGATATACATGCATGTCTTCAAGGAGTTCCTTCACATTTAGCACTGGATGTAACAGTAAACTTAACTCCCCCACCTACCCCGCTCTCCTTGCATTTTTTGATGTTTCAGAATTTATCAGCTAAAATTGTGCAATTATCACTCAAAGGATCACATTCTCATAAAAAGAGTTGCATCCCTGGATTTTACTGATGCAAGATTGTCTTAGTCATCTGACTATAATTCCCATCTGTGCATCTTTTCATGTTCTTACTGAGATATTTAGAAAGCCAAGAAAAATTATGTGACTAGGCTAGCAGCTGAATCATTGTATTTTATGTTGAATATCAATGCTGGCACAGGAAATGCAAGATACTAACTCAGGTCTTTTTGAATGATTGAAGGAGGAAGAGGATTTGTAAACAGTTTGCAACGTAATCATGGAATCTTTATCCAGGCATTTCTATAATCTAATCATAATAATTTAAGATCAGATTGTGGTTTGGGGCTTTGGGGGATTTTCTATTTGTTTTTGTTTACAAGAACTTTGCCTTTATGTAAATTACACATTTTGCAGAAATGGTCATGATGTCTTAATTTTCATGTCTCATAATTATTATTTCATAATATCCCATATATGCTGATAATTATGCATTGTTACGAAAATTGCATACATACTTTCAAAAACAAAGCACGAACAGTTTGTAGTAATTAAAGTATAAACTGGAATTGTTTTAGTTGCCCAGCCACATCTAAAAAAAAAAAAAAAGAGCCATAATAAACTGGTTAACATTAGAAGAGGTTTTAATTTTTCAATAGGACTAAATGTTATATTTTCACTGTATGGTGATGCCCTGTATCCCGATAACATTGTAATCCCAGCAGCCAAAATTTATCAGTGGTTTTATTTGGCATTGACAGCCAAAAGGCAAACCCCATTTTATTTAATCTTTGACAAATAAAAAGAAATTTTAATCTTTTTCCCTCTTTTTTTTTTTCCCCCCTGTAGGCTTAAAATGAATAAACAATGCCCTTTTTAAAGCATGACTCATTCAAAAGTACACCTTAAATGAGGAATTGTTCATTTAATTGAAGTGATTCCTTTGCCAGGCTTTGTATTGATGTGTACAAATTAATCTTTTTTTATTCACAGTACAAGACTTGTGATCAAATAGTACTATTTTCCTCAAGATAAAACTCTTCATTTTGTAACCAATTTGCACAGAATGTTTTCTAATAATGTCTTGTGCCTGTTCTTTTGTAACTACATTTTGTATTTTCAGTGCATTAAATTTGTATGTGTGGTTTATACAGAAGAAGCACTCAAATAAAAAAAAAGGCAGGAAAAAAATAGGACTAAGAAAAATTTTTGAAGTCATATGCAGAGCACTTGAAGGAAAAAAGAACAAAAGCACTTCAGGGTAAAAGTAGTAGGAGGGGTATTTTATTTTACTCGTCTCCTAGAAAGCCTATATTAACGAGAATATGGGGGGGGGGGAACCCAAAAAACCCAAGAAGACAAAATGCTGGTACTAGCTACACACACTTGTTATCTTTCATTATTAATACTGTATGAAGAGATTCCAAGTAAAATACAGCAATATAAGACAGAATTATACATGTAATAGAAAAATCTCAAGCACTTTATAATTTGCATGAATAGAAATCTAACATTTAAAACCATTCATTTCAAAGAGGGCATTAAACAAGGATCAGAAGAATACATGGCAGAAATTTTGGAAGGCTTTCTGGTGCATAATGTTTACACTTTAAAAAAAAAATCTTTCATTTCCTATCTAAAAGCGTAAAACCACAGGTTTTTTTTCACGGTTCTAGAATGAAATCTTTTGAAGACGGTTACCTAGTGAGTGAGGTGAAAAATGTCAATCTCAATGACAGTATGTACCCACTAGAACAAGTGGTTTCTTTACTGATCACTTCTTGCTTGTCTTCTTAAAGGTACAATGTCAAACTTGGTTTATTGTTTCACTGTGTATTTCTTTTTTCCCTTGCCCAATAGGACTTTGAAGGGATACCAAATAATTTGTCTTTCAACTAGTTTCATTCCAGTAGCCTACTTTGGGATTATTTGGGCTTTCAGCATACTGAAGGGATGTTGCTATTTTCTAAAAAGCATTTAAATTGATATTATAGTAAAAGGTTATTACTAAAGCTGATATTGGTGCTTGATTATTTCACCAGTTTCTCATGTAAGCGACATAAACAATTAAGTTACAGCAAAACTGTAATTTGAGTTAATTGTGTTTTCAGATCTCTGAACAAAATGAATTTCATTACAAAGCTTTCTGCTTTATGTCTGAGGAAAAGCAAGATGCAACAGAGGCACCAAAGTAGTAGACGACCAGCGGTTCCACTTGGATCACGGATTTTAACTGATCCTTCTAAGGTTTTTGAGCATAACATGTGGTGAGATGTTTCTTCAAGGCTGATTTTCATATGGATTTGTATATTATTTACTATGATGAATAATGGGGGGTGTGTGTGTGTGTGTATATATATATATAAAACAACGGACTGCCAGAATAGATGTGTAATGGTAGTGCTAGAGAAAACTTGAGATTGTTACAAGTAACCTGACAGTTATGAGTTCTCAGTGACTTGCGTAAAAAGCTTCTGAGCAAATAGTTAGTCATGGAATGAAAGCCAAAATGTTGTTACAGGTCAGTAATGAATTAGGAAACAGAAAGTGTATAGATAAGATAGTCTATGTTATTTATAATGGCAGAAAGTTACTAGTTAGGTACAATAATGTTGCATACTGGATTAGCGCTGTATTCTAAAATTGACACCATTTTGAAAGGAACATGTAAATTACTTGTATTCTTCTGAAGGTGTACTGAAGATGTTACAGATAGTTCAGCAGAGATGTCCATACAGTGCACAATTGTCAAAAAAAGTAAATTGAATGTTAACATAAATAAATGATATAATAGCAGAGAAAACATTAACATGTAAATGTTAAGAATAAGAATTGCCTTGATTTGCACCAGTACATCTCCATCTCTAAAAGGTATTTTCATGGTTAATAGGGGCTCAGAAAAGAGTGAGAACGCTAGTCAACACAGTAGGAAAACTGAGACTGAAAAGGCTAGGATTTTTGACAATGGAATGGAGACAAATACAAAACAGTAAGTGATACAGGAAGTGTTAGAAGGATAGAAGAATATCTAAATCTATCTAGAAAGTAGAAGAATATCTACCTAAGATATTTGGAAGACCGGGAATTTTTATTCTTATAGTTCATAACTTAAGAACAAGGAATATTTGATGAAAAGAGAAGTGGGAAGTTTAGAAGCTATACAAGAAATTATTTTCTACATAATTTTAAAATATATTTTTGAACTCTACCACACACCATTTTTGAAAGCAAGGATTTAGCAAAATCAGAAAAGGGACTGGATGTGGCTAATGATAACCAATGGGTAACATAACATAGGAGTGACAGATGACAAGTTTCGGGGCTTAAGGTTACTTCATAAAAGTAATCTGCAGTTCTTATACCTTCCTCAGAGGTGTCCCCTGCTGGCAACTGTCAGAGACGTTATTGAACAAGCTTTTGCTCTGAAATTAAGTTTCCAACTTGCTGTTTGGTTTTTTTTTTTGATTACTATTCTTTTTAGTAGTCCATTTTATTTGTTAATTGGTCCATTTTACTTTTTAATCTAAATTATTTCAAAAGCTTCTCTAATAAAATTCTGATGAATAAAAAGGTCTTAAGAGAAGAATATGACACAGAAGATTGTCTTTTGGTTAATAAACTAATATCTTCGTTACTCTTTTTAGTCTCTAAATTTGGGCTTAACTCATGAGGTAAGATATGCAGCTAGATCTGTCACCTATTACTGTTTTCTAAACTAGATGTCCCCAAGCCATGGTCCCCAACACATACCACCTTAAGGCCAAATCTGGAGTTATCTATACTTCTGTAAGTTCTGTAAGTTCCTTGGTCAAGGAAGCTGGAAGCTGGCTAGTTATTGTGTTAAAAGAGTGTAAAATTTATCTTCATGTTTCATAAATCTATATGCAGTGTAGTTCTTAAGCATCTTCCAGACTTGGTACCTCCTGCTAGGTGGAAAAATCCTTTACTTGTGTGAATGCTGATTCAAACGTAGGCTATGTAGTCAAGGTAGGAAAAGATTTTAAGAAAAAGGCCACCCTTTTTCTGTAACATTGTACCTTGACGAAACTCAGTTTTGTTTCATTTTTTAATTTCCTTCCAAATAACTGGTCATGTGTAGCTTCAGTTTTTCTTGCTAGCATTCGGTGACGGTCTAATACAGAGTTATCAAAGTATGATGCAGGTGGTTGGGATGGATTGTGAAGATGGGATTGAAAGGAACAGGCTTCAGAAAGTGGATCTGCAGATGAATCCATGTAGCTCAGAAGGCAAAACAGGTGCAACTGAGTTGGAGCAGAGGTTGCATGGAAGTTGCGAAGGTCTTGATAAATCAAGAACCTGGCTATGAAGTGGTGGGAGGTCCTTCGATCTGAAGCTTGCTGAATCAGCAGGGTTCTCACTAGGGAGATAAGGATGAGTGGTGGTTGAGCTAAATAGATCATGCAGGGTGAGCGCAAGAGATTCATCTTCCCTAGCATTGATGTATGAGGATTTATGTCCTTTTGTTTTCCACTCATCATCTTTGGTACTTCATAAAGTGGCATCCTTCTTTTTGCCTGTGTGTGAATTGGCAGGGAGCCAAGAGCTGCCACCATTGCTGCTAGGAATACTAAGCAAATTAAATTTGGGAACTAATGCTTTAGCTATTTGCTGTGGTGCTTTTCTGTCATTTTGAGAGAGCAGTAATGAATGATGCTAAACATTGGAGCAAAAAATGTCTGCTTCTATTCAGGTTAGTAATTGGCATAGTTTTCACATGTTAGTTTTCAGAGATAATTAAACCCTGTGTTAGCAAACAAGTTAATGGAAAAGGGCTAAGTTGCATAAGTTGAACTGAAAGTAGCATTGCTTGATCTCATGTCAGGCCCACTCATGTTAACAGTTCCTGGTGTGGCTAAAATGGATAGCTTCCTTTGTGGCTGTCAATGTTCAGCTTAAAACACTTCGTGTTTAAACGCTTCTGTGCTTAGAATTCTTCTGTATTCTGTCTTCCTGCCAGCTTGTATTGCTGAAGGAGCTGCCTCATTTGAAGCATCCAAACTATGTAAATAGTTTGCATAAGAAATATGCTATGTTCCCTCTTTTGCAGATTTTGATCAAGAAGTGCTGCTGCAGTCCTGCTGTGTGGGGCCTTTCATAGAGAAATTTATAGGAAAGAGCCAAAAGATCTTTCTTCAGCTTAATGAATTTCCAAGGAGGGACAAAAGGAAAAAAAGTTGTTGATGAAGATGGAGGACTTCAGGCACCTATAGTATTGTGTGTAGACCCCTTAAGGGCTCTGACAGACACACAATGATGGATTAAAATTGATCAGCTAAAGCTTATACCACAGCAAGTCATCTGTCAGAAGGGCTGACTGTATATTATTGCCATCTGAATAGTCCTCGGTTTCAGCTTGCTAGAATAGGCAAGGTCAAAACCAGTGATAGCAATGAGGGAAGCAAGCCTTTGCAAGAGGATGGCTGCCTAGTAATGCTTCGGTCATTCAGTTTTTATTCTACTACAGCACGTCTGTCAGAGACTTGACACTGCACAGGAACATTTGGTATACGAACAAATACAGGAAGGGGAGAGGCAAACTGCTGGGACAATAATGAGAAATATTTCAGTAGAGATGCGGAAATCAAGTCTGAGGCAAGCAGACAAATACATGCCAACTAGTCTCCCACAATTAACAAAAGAGGAACAGTGAAGGTCTAATAATTACCTATGTGTTACCAATCATGGAACAGGAAGATGCTCGGTAGCTTTTAGAGACAATCAACTCTTTTCAAGTTGACACCTTGTTCCTTTTCCCATAGTAACCAATGGAATTTTAGTCATAGGCTTTCAGTTAATTGATTTCAGTAGGATTAGGATCTAATAGATTACTTGAATTATATTATCTAATTTAATCAGATTTCTAAAACTGTTCAGACTGGACAATTTGGAGGGACAGCTGATTTGCTTTTAAAAGGTGCCAGCAGCACATATTTGAGCACTCCCCATCGTGGCCTGGTCCAAACAGAATCTGCAGGGAAGGCAGTTTAGTCATAAGGGTCAGATCTTGGCTTGGTTCTCTGACCATTTAATGGATTAATATAACATTTAGTGAACCACTTTACGCAAGTATAGATAGCATAGACTCTGGAACCATTCCAGCACTGCTTGTCTTTTCTTAGGAATGTCTCATTCTTCTTTTTTCTAAATGCTTCCTGTCTGTATTCCCCAAATAAGTAAAATCCTGTTCATCAATTCCCCCTGTTCCACTTGACTAGGTGGATTATGCTCCCTGTTTCAGGAACAGCTGATTCCTTTGCTAAATGACCTTTGTTCCTGATCATAAACATTAGTAATGTGAGAAGTTTCTTGCATCAAGTTGCCTGTTGACAGGTCTGTTATTATATCCAGCTAAACACAATTCTAATGGGACACTCAAAATACATTCCTATAAAAGCATTCAATTTACAACATGTATGTTAATCCTATTATTAAGAAAAAAAAATGCATACTACTTCAGCCTCTTTGCAGTTGGAAGATTTTTCTTAATCACTTGAGTTTTACCTAACTAGTAATTAATTTTTGTCTATCATACACTGAAACTTAGTTTTTAACCGTCAGTCTCCTTGTGGTCATTAGCTTGCACTCAAAAAGAAAATGTATTTGAGACTGTGTAGCTAATTTGTGACTGTTTTCCCTGGGGAAAAAAAGATTATGGTAAATCCTATTTAAAGGCTGGTTCTTCAACTGCCTGTTGCAGGGACCACATGCAGTGGTCACAAGAAGAGGAGGAGAATGCCAAGGAAAAAGCGGCAGAGAACTCGCTTGTGAAAGTCCAATGGGAAGACCAAGGTAACAAATTCATAATGGCTTAAAAATTCCTATTTTAATGCTATTTAATAAGGCGTTTAAAGATGCTTTAAAATCAAGGAACACTTTTTATTTCTACATTCTCTCGTCTACATTTGTTGGTTGGTTGTTTTTTTTTCTTTGTTGCCTCAAAAGATCATCTCAAAGTGTGTTTTTCTAGCAATTCAGTTACTTATTTGAGCAATTTTGCATTTTGGGGGGGCAGTAGGCTCTATGTAAAACAAGTACATCACTGTGGTGCAGTTGCAAGTTCTGGCTCCTTTTACAGTTCTTCAGAATAAAACTCCTACTACAGTAGGAGTCCTACAGGACTGTTACTTCACCGAAGGGAATGAATTTGCAGCCAGCTAGGGTGCTGGGGATGAAAGTTCCCATGTACAGTATTCAAATGCTTTTTAATGATTTGTGGACTTTTTAGAGAGCTAGTGTTTGTACATTGCACCATATTTCAGTTAAGTGCCATGAAAGTTGCACTGGTCCCAGCTGGTGCCAGCTTGCTGCCTTGGCCAGGCTGAGCTGGGAGTGCTTCACGAAGCAGTGTGTTCACTTTGTGTGGAAGGTGTTCCAATACATCATGCAGTGTCTGCTTTGTAAATGATTAAGGAATTCTGTGCCTGTCTTCAGAAGGGAAACTTAATGTATTCTGCATTCTGAAGAACGATAGCTCTAGGTTCAAACTGGCAAACTAAACCCTAGACTAAACTCTAGGATAGTTATATATGCTAAAGCTGAAGTATCAACTTGATAGTAACATAGAAGACTGGATTCTTAATTTGTGCCTTTATTAGAAAGATATTCTGAAAACAATTACTTGGATGTCCTGGGCTTCAGTTTACATAGCATGTCTTGAACCTGTCAAATTACATAGCGTCATTATGATCCTGTGCTCAGTTTCATTGATGTAACTAGGGCACATGTTGGAGTTTATTTGAATTACCTGTGAATGTGTCTTGGATTGTGTGCCCTTCATCACTCTGGTCTTCAGAAGGGAAACTTAATGTATTCTGCATTTCTGAAGAACGATAGCTCTAGGTTCAAACTGGCAAACTAAACCCTAGACTAAACTCTAGGATAGTTATATATGCTAAAGCTGAAGTATCAACTTGATAGTAACATAGAAGACTGGATTCTTAATTTGTGCCTTTATTAGAAAGATATTCTGAAAACAATTACTTGGATGTCCTGGGCTTCAGTTTACATAGCATGTCTTGAACCTGTCAAATTACATAGCGTCATTATGATCCTGTGCTCAGTTTCATTGATGTAACTAGGGCACATGTTGGAGTTTATTTGAATTACCTGTGAATGTGTCTTGGATTGTGTGCCCTTCATCACTCTGAATGCTGTGGGATTGTCATCCTGCCCTTTTCTGTTACCTCTCGTGTTTTTTATCTAAATACAGGCGTACAATGTTTTTCGAAAATGACATCTAATATTTTCGTTTGGTTTGTATAAAAAGTTGAAAAAGAGCTCATAATTGAAAAGTAAGCAGTGTAACCATGTGGCTCATGGAACCTTTCATTCTTCATCTACAATCAGTTAGAACTTAGTTTGTGCTGGTGAGAAATGGAATAATCAGGCATTTGTCTATTGCCAAGAAATAGAAGAATCCAAGGACGTTTCCTATGAATGCCCCTCTGTTTAGAACTTGAATAGGTGAGCATCGCCGATAGTGTTCCTTCAGAAAGCTTCAGCTTCATTCTGCAAGTGGAAGTACATTTTGGCCTATTTGTATAAACAATGAACTAGACTGAAGCTAATGAGCAGGTTATTTTGGGGCCTTGGAAACTACTGTAAGGGGAAAAAGACAAGACAGATTTCAACAATACTATTATATCACTAAAATAGAATAGTTCTGGTGAGCCTTGTTAAAACAAGAGAAGATAAACTCAATGAACTCATGATACTACCTTTAGGAATTCGATTTACTTATTATCATGTCCAGTTTCTTCTCAGGCATGCCTGCTAGTGTTGAAAGATTCTGTTAAGGAGAAAAATCAATTGACTAAGTAAGGGATTTTTTTGTCTCAGGAAGTCATACGTTTATTAGTTTTGTCATTTTTACATGCTTTGGAAAATTTAGTAGTCAGGCTACTTAAATATACAAAAAGAAACAAAAAATTGATAATAATACTGCATGTGTGGTTATTACACAGTGGTGCAGGAGTGACCAGTGAAAGAATGGAAAGTGAAGTGCTCTTTCACTTGAACCTATGTAATACCATACTAATACAATTTGAAAGGCTGACCTTAGCCGTTGCTTTTCTTCAATTCTGCAATCTGGAAAACTTGATGGGAATTTAAGTACAACAGTTCTGAGCAGACTTTTAGAAAAGTAGTGACTATAACAAGGGGTGATAATGATTTAAGAACCTTTTGAGTAGGCTTGTTTTTTATACTGAAGCTGAGCAATCTATGAATGTGCAATCTACACTACTGACATCTGGTATATATGACCTCAATCAACTCTGCACTTATATTATAAAACAAGTCTGTGCAATTACTCTGCATGGCTGGGCCTTGCCCTTTAATAATACAATTGGACGTATTAAATGTTAAATTTTAAAAATTATGCAGATTTCTAGGACAAGGCATTCTGCCACCTCCTTGCCACTTCCCACTGTCTGTCTGTGCCTCTAATGATAATTCTCAGTCTTGTTTATCTCTGAAAAGCTGTAGCAATTTAGGAAATAGTGTGTTAAGGTTTAAATGAGAGTGGTAGGAGAAATGCACCATATATTTACTCTGTGCATTTATAGTAGAAGAATTAATGGGTCAGTGTAAGTCAGTAGGGACAAAATTAAAAAGGCAACACATTATATGATGTACATTTAGCAAGAGACATCAAGGGTAACAAGAAACAGTTCTGTAAATGCTTTGGGAATGAGGGGAAAAAACAAGAAAAATATTTGGTTTGGTACTTAGGAGGGATGAGGAAGGGAAAACCATCAACAAAAGAGACATTGAAAAAGCTGTAATTCTTATCTTTTTATCAGCCTTCCTTTGAAAGGGTTAGCTGCAGTCCAGTGGGTAGCACTGTTAGTGCTAGTGAGAAGGAGGAAAGATCTTGTTCTCGTACTGAGAAAGAACAGTTTGCAAAGTACATCCGTAGAGTACATGGATGACTGGGAAAGCAGAAAAGAGAATATTTACTTTTTGAAAAAAGGGAGGTGGGAAAAGAGAAGAGTCAGATAATTAGTTTCAATTCCTGGAAGAATACTGGAAGAGATAATCCAGAGCTTGCAGACACTGGGTTTGGAAGAACAAAGCAGATGAATGCTGGCCAACAAATATTTTTCAAGAATAAATCATGTAAAATCAAGCTAATTTCCTTCTTGGAGAAGGTTACAAGCCCCGGGGTTAAGGAAAAAACAGCAGACGTCCTGAAATTTATCCTTAGTCAGGCTTCTGACTTGCTTTACTTGACATTTTCATAAGCAAGTTAGGCAAGCGAGAGCTAATGAAACTGCTTTTGGGTGAATGAATGCCTAGAGAGATCCTTTCAGAATGGAAGACTGTGCTGGGCAGAGAAGTGTTTTGTTCTCTGTCCAGTTCTGCTTGGTATTTTCATTAGTGACCTCAGGAAATGGGAGACTTGAAGATGATATTAAGTGAAGAGATGTTTCAAGTATGGTGAAGGATGGGATTAGGATTCAGAAAGATCTGGGCAAACGGTGGCAAAAAAGGATCTGAAAGACATAAATTTGCTAAAAATAAATGCAGAATAATTCCTTGAAAAAAATACTAGGTTCTGGAACAATTGGCTAGGTAGTCATTTTGCAGAAGAAGATCTGAGGGTTGTGGTGAATCACTAGCTGAATCAGCAGTGTCATGCTGTTGCAAAATGGCAAGCTGGGAGTTATAAACAGGATTACAGCCTGTAAGGCTCGTAAAATATTCCTTTTGCTCTGTGTTGATAATGCCTTTACCAGAATACAGCACCAGAAAGTAGTAAATCAATTGGAAAGAATCTAGAGAAGAAAAATTAAAATGGTCAGAAGTCTAAAAAAACCATAACTTTGGTGGAAAAAAGAAGAGAGTTAGCTTTAGACAATCTAAAAAAGAGATTGTTTATGGGAGACAGTAAAAGACTTCAAATAAGTAAATAGGTGTTGCAAAGAGAAGTGAGGAATCTGCTTTATCTGCTTGGTTAATGGGACAAGAATTACTGGACTTAAATTGCAATAAGGAAATTTCAGGTTAGGTAGTGGAAAAGGTTTCTAACTGTACAGATGGTGAAGGACTGTAATATATTACTGAAGAAAGATGTCAAACATATATGAAAGGTGGTATTTTAAGAGAAAGTTGGACAAATTTCTGTGGAAAAGGGGTATGAATTCCCTGACTGGGTGAAATCCCTTCCAGTCCTATTCTTTGATACTCTTAACATTCAGTTAGAATGTTTTGTGAATTAAAAGTTAACACGAAGGTCTATTGTAAGAATCTCTGAAGTGCTTTGAAAGTAATAAAGCCAGTATGTTGCTTCTGACTGTATTGTTGTTTTCTGTAAAAACTGCATTGTTGAATGGTTAAGAGTGAATTACTGCCTATTGGCTATGCAGTAGCATTTATCACTCCAGTTCACAGAACTGGATTTCTAATTGATGGGTTTTTTTCAGAGATGACTAGCTACCAACAAATTTGCAATTGTTCATAGAGTTTTGTAAATAGTGAAATTAATTTCGATTTAGTATTTCTTAAATAGGAAGAACATGGAGAACATTTAATTGAAAAGATGCATTTCTTTTGTAATTTGAGACATGAAAGCTTGTCTAAGAAACTTACGATTGCGTATTTTGGTGATGCTGTTTTATTATGTCACTACATTTAAAAACAAAGAAAAGATGATGCAGAAAGCCTGTCTGCCCCATCTAAGTGACATAATTAAATATAATAACTAAACCCTCATGGGAGTTATTTTGAGCACAGATTAAGGCAAGACCCCAAATCCATATGTTTTTATTTAAATGTGTGCAATGTGGGAAACTATGGATTTTTGAACTGTAAATTTGGGGTCCAAACTCCATGTTGCTTTACAATATTTTGTAGCTAAGCTCACATTCACCAAGTTTTGTTTTGTTTTAATTTCAGATAAATATGAGAGAGAAGCCAGTAAATATTGGAATGAATTTTATAAGACTCATAAAAATAACTTTTTCAAGGATCGCAATTGGCTGTTTCTGGAGTTTCCAGAAATTCTTCCAGAAAAAAGGAGACAAGAGTTGAAAACAGAAGAAAGATCTTCGGAACACACAAAAATAAATAGTACCAACAGTTTTTCACATAAAAATGAGATGTTTGAGGAAGATGAAAAATATTGGAAGAAAAATTTTGGAGGTGGTTCTACTTCTGTAGAAGGATATGTATATAATAAAAACCAAGCAAAATCTCTTACTGACAATCCTCAGGGTAAAAACTGTGGAGAAGAACTTGGCAGGCTAGAATTCTTCCCTGGTAGTGATGCCACTTACAGAATATTAGAGGTAATGCACTGCAAATGTTCTACCCATCATATAGAGCTCCACTTAATTGTTCAAAAGCTTGATAAAGACAGTAAGTATCAAGAAAGTAAACATTTAGAGTTTGACGTACTGCGTTCATTTATGGCAGAAGCTTTCAGAGAAATGTAGGAACAGGACTTTGTTTTCCCTTTAAAGTTTCTCCCACATCAGAATTTAGGACTAGATTGTCAGATTCCATTTTCACTGGAAGTTGGGTTTCTAATTTCCTAAGGAAAGTTGTGTCTTAAAGTGCTTTGTTCTTAAAGTGCTCTGTCTTAAAGTGCAACTGCTTGATGCATCCTTGCCAAATGGTGAAATTGGACAAGAATATGGCGTTTTCCTGTGCAGTTTGAGAGATGGATTCTCTCTTAACTTTGGAAAGATATTGAGGAGAAACGTGCTCATAGAAGTGATTTGAGAATTATGGTATGAGCTGTTTATACCTTTTCTGTTCAACATAGCTTCAAGTCTAATGGGTCCTACCTAGCAACTAATTTAAGACAAAAATAAAAAAAATGAGGTTTTATTTGCTCATTTATTTTAACTTGTTTCTCTTCTGATTTTAGGTTGGTTGTGGTGCTGGAAACAGCGTCTTTCCTATTTTGAAAGTTCTATGGTATGTAGTGCTGGGTTTTCAAATATGAAAGTTCTATTCGCATCTTAATTTTCTTCAAATGTTGGTGCTAGACCAGTGCTGCAGGAAGTATTGAGTGGACTGTTTTACAAATGCTTTGCTTTAGACAGCGTGTAATGAAAGGGGAGCCCTATTTAATATGAAAAGTTTGGAAAGTAACACTATATAGGGAAAAGATATCATGTGGCTGTATTAAAAAAGATGAGCCAAACTTTTGTGTTTTCCTCACAGGAGGCATTAGTCATAGGTTGGCATTTCTGATAATTAAGAATCCACTCATTAGGTATTTTTCCTGGAGATCTCTATTCTTATGGAAATCCTTCAGTCAATCACATTGTTTGGTACATTGAACAACTCACACATTTGTCTTGACCTGATGGAAACATCTCTTATCTCTTAGCAGGCCTGACTTTACTCCAGTTTTACTCTGAATTTAATAATATAAAAATTGCCTTTTGTATGCATATAAAAGGAAGACAGTGTCAAGTATGAGTGTACTCTGGCTACAGAAAAATTTCGCACTTAGGTTTGTAACATAACTTTTAAACCACTTCCCTCTGCCCCCCTTAAAATTTAAGTTACGGCTTTTTAATACAGTGCCTCATGAAATCACCATCCAGATCAAGCTGTGTTTTTGTTTTAAGTTGACTTTCTATATAGCTCCTATTCGGCTCTAAAAAAATTGAAATAACATCCTAACAAGTCAATTGGGTGATCAGCTTAACCTTTCCCAAGGGACTGGCTGGGTCCAAAGCCTGGCTGCTTGTCCTCATCCATGACAAATATCCAAACTCATAAACTTTCATGGTCGGCACAGAGCTGATAAAAGTTTTGCTCAGCGACGAGGATGGGATATATTTTGGTCCACAAGGGTTCTCCTGTTGAGCCCTCAGAGAGGTCACTAACTCAGCTGTGTATACTGTGAGATCTTAGGCACTGCCAGAGTTTACCGATTCCCTTTCTAAAGAAACCGTCAGTCCAAAATCTCAATTTTTTTTTTTAAGAGAGATTAATTGATTATGAATTGACCATGAGTTCATCCCTCAGTAGGTTTAGAGGGGCCTGCTCAGTTCCTCTTAGATGAATTTTTCGGAGGTGAAAAAAATTTCTCCCTAGAGTTACTAGTATCTGATGAATGGTATGAAGAAATTTGCAGCTGGCTTAGTCTTGGATGGGAAAGGAAGGGAAAACAGTGCTACAGGAAATTCTTATTCATCTTGGCTTACAAAACAAAGGGGGTAATGGAGGGAAACAGCCAATATTGCTTAATCTAATCAAAAGCCCAGCAAGGTGGCACATGGGAACCCAAACCTCTACAGAACTGTGGATGACTTTTGCAACACCCCACCCCTGCCCAAATCATATTGCTAATTAAACTGCATACATGGGCTAATGATAGAGACTTAATGCAGTGCTTCTGTAAGAAAATGTGATCTATTAATGTGCATTTATGTAATACAACACCAGGACATTGTCATCATTCCTGACAGCCCTCTGTGACCTTCTTTCTTTTCCTTTTCACTTCCTCCCTGACAAGGCTATAATTCTCCTTTTTATACTAACTGCCTGTTGGTATTCTTATGAATTTGTCTGCCCTGTTGGTTCATTACAACCTATGTGGCTTTCCATGTGCTAGACATCAATAAGGCATGCTTGATCAAACCTGTGGAGAACCCCAAAGGGCCCTCTGTAGTTCCATGAACACTGATGTAGACTTTAATCTTTTACAATAATAATTTTTTAACTGATGTTGGTTTTGTTTTCCTAGCAATACACCTGGAACCTTTCTATACTGTTGTGATTTTGCTTCAGGAGCAGTGGAGCTGGTAAAGGTAATTCATGTGCTCGCTTTAGAGTACCTTATAAGCCTGTAATTCAGGAGGCTGCCAGGAAGCCGTCTTCATGAAAAAGAATGCGATGGCTTTGACAACTTTTAACTGAAGTTTTCAATATTCCAAAGAACAAAGTCTTACTCTATGCAGAGAGGAATGAATACCATCAGTGAGCTTGCTTCTCAGCTTGAGTAAGATACCAGACAGAATAGGCTTTTATATGAAATGTTTTACAATGCTGAATAATTGAAGAAAAAGTTTCTTGAGTCACAGTAAACGTATTAACTACTACTGTTCTCTCTGTGCCTCTTTTCATCTTTTTCCTGACAGTCACATTCGTCCTACAATTCAGCCTGGTGTTCTGCCTTTGTTCATGATGTGTGTGATGATGCTTTACCCTATCCTTTTCCAGATGAGATCCTGGATGTCATTCTCCTTGTCTTTGTGCTCTCTACTATTCATCCTGACAGGTAAATGAAGACTAAAGGGCAAAGCAAATGGGTTAAATCTCTTTTATCACTGGAGGTTTTCAAGAATAGGAAAAGATGATGATGAATCTTTAATTTATTATTTAGTAAGCTACAATATATATAAAACAAGGTATTTTAAATGCTGTTTCCCATTTTCAGGCTTCAAGAGAAAAGCTGGTCAGGCTCATTCATGAGTGAGCCTCCTGTCTCCATCAAAATACAAGGGGTATATGGTAACTAAATACATCCCTATTAAAAGTGACAGTGATTCAAGAAAATTACAAATTAAAAAAAAACCCAAAAAACACAACAGACCACTAGTCCTCTAGAAGGAAATTATTTTTAGTGATCAAAACTAAACATTCATGATTTAACACCTTACAATATGTTGATAAAGACTTAGGCTGCTTATTTAGTGACACACAAATGCTTACATGCAGGCCTTTTAAACCAAGGTGCATTCAGAATTTTGTAACTAACTCGTTTGGATTAAGAAAATTTGATCTAATTTTCATGCATGGTGTTATGTTGAGTGCTGTTAGCCTTGTTACTAATGCCTCTCAATGTCTAATGAACCGAACTTTATGACTGTTAAGGCTGGCTGATTGTGAAAATGCCCTTTTTTTAATGGGAAAAATGCAAAAGAGGGCATGTAAGTTAAACTCCTTAACTCTTCCTTTAACTAGATCATATGAAGGGAAATACATGCTGTATGTGTGCTAATATGTTTATTACTTTAAGAATGTCATTAAAATGGGCTTGGCAAACAGAACTGTATTTGCCTAAGTCTGAGAACTGTTTCCCTGCGTAAGTTATTAATGATTAGCTTTACAGAAAATTTTTTCCCATATAGGTTATTACTCCTTCCTGTTTGTTCAGAGATGAGCACATGAGTCTTGCGAAGCCTGGGTCCAGATTTCAAAAACAATTCAAGCAGTAGATTTCAGATCTCTGTAACTGCGGTGATGCTGCCAGGAAGAAATTGGACAATAGAGACGCATTCATTCAATTGCTTTGCCTGTAGAAGCAGTAATCAGATGTTCTGTTAGAATTTCTGTGGATCTTTTCCTATTAGTCATTTGAGAATGTGTTTGTCTTTTTTTTTTTTTTTTTTATTTTCTTCTCCTCCCCATGTCAGCATCTAAAGGCTGACATGGATGCTTCTGTGTGTGTGTGTATACACACATAAAGATTTCCATGTAATTATCTGTGTTGTAAGACCCACTTTCCAAAGATTTATTAGTCATTACTGTCATCTCGTAGAATTAAAATGAGTGCATAAAGGCAAATGTAATGCAGATTCATCTTGCTCAGTATACGTTTTTTCTGGAAACTTTGAAAGTGGGAAATGAAAAAGAAAACCAAGAGAATGATGATGCAGAACTTCTGTACTTTTGAGACCTGGGAAATATACATGAGAGGGACACATCTGTATTCAGCACAATTGTTACTTAGTGATTTCTCTTCAGGCTGTTGTGTTTAGTTTTTTGTAATTGCTACTCTTGTACCCCATTTTTAACACACTTCAATTCTGCTAGAAGGCCCCTCTAGAAGTTGATTGCAGAATTTGAAAGGTATTAAACTTTCTTCAAGCTATATAATTAATATGCTCTAGTCCTACAGGATGAGAGTTCTCAAAGCACTTTCACTGTTTTTGCATGTACATTTTTTTTCTATGTGCACGAAACTTATGTTTATATAGGCGGTCTGTAATTTTGTGCACAACTACCTGTCTTGAACAGTCTCTTATTCTTAGGTGGTGCTGCCTTTTCTGTCTGTGGCAGCACGCTTGGTTGCCTGTGTTGAGCATGAGCAAAGAGGACAACTGTTAAAGCACTTGGCTTCCTCTGAGGGAATTCCATGCTTAAAAAGTGTATGCTGCTTTTTGTTCTTGTTTGTTTGGAGATATGATATTATTTTCTGCTGAACTACCTCCTAATTCTGTCCCTTAAAAAATCAAGGTAAGATGCCTGCACTGCTGTTGCATAAGGACCAAATTGCATTAGTGTGTGAGTTCTGACATTTGAGGCAAGGGAGTAAGGCCACCTGAGAGACAGGGATGGTGTAAGGATGTTGTCTTGGTACACAGTAATGGTATGCTGATTTTGTGTAGTTAAGTAGGACTTACTCTTCTTTAGCTCTTTTCAGATACAGCACCCTGCCTTTCCTTTCCATTCATTTTGCATTCACTCTGGCTCCATATCTTCTACATGGTCTGTCCACTTCCCTGTGGGAGGAAGGGTTGAATTAGGCAAGTGGACTTTTCTGCCTTGCAGCCTGCCAGGTGAAGACTGCCTTTTGTGGTCTTTCATGAATGTGGAAAACCTGAGTCCTTCAGTTTATTCTGAAAGAGCGAGGCAAACCCAAGGCATTATTCATTAGTAACGTATTTTGCAGAGTAATGCAAATGTATTTATAAGAAGCTCCAAGGTAAGGTTAAAAAGTGAGAAGGAAGATGCTCTGGTCTAGTGAAGGTGAAAGAGTACTGTGTATGGTACTTAATCCTATCATACGTACAGCAGGCTGGTGTAATCTTGATAAGGAAGAGCTGATGTTAGATACCACCAAGATTCACAAACTTGTCAGCATTTTGCAGGATACAGACTTTCCTCCTCTAAATAGCAGTATCTCCAGATGGAGTTCTGCCAGATTCCTCTCCTAAGGTACTACTCAGATTCTTCTTTCCATTTTCAGCCATGAGGTGTGGAGATACTGATTTTGTGTGTATGATCAGTACCTCCATCAATAAATCGGGTAAGTTTCTGTTTGCCTTCCAGGCCCTTGATTTTGCTATCGTACAGCAAGAAGGCTCAGTCTAGCTCACCAATGCACATAGCTAACTGTTCATTCATTGTTTGTCATGTATCTGCCTGACCCATATACTCAAAAACTGTGTTTTAATCCATCCTTGAGATTCTGTTGAAGTGAAGGAAAAGGGCTCCTTTTCTCTTTCCAGTGTGTATTCCCTTACAGTGCCTTTTAAATATTGGGTTTAGAGGCTTTTTTGTAAAGAGTTCTTCCTGTTCACTAGTGCCTGGCCTTTTTATAGTAAATATAGACACATCTTCTCACTGTAGTTTTGGAAATCTATGTATATTCCAAGCATCTAGAAAAAAACAGTTATGTTTGCAAAATTTCACCAGTATCCCATCTATTTCTAAGGATGCAAGCGGTTGTAAATAGGTTGGCTAAACTACTGAAACCTGGAGGAATGTTGTTATTTCGAGACTATGGACGATATGATACAGCTCAACTTCGTTTTAAAAAAGGTAATTCCTGAATGCTTTTGTAGTTCACTGTTCATTTTAACTCTTTTTGAAAAAAATGACGTGTCCTTTTTCATTACTGCTCTAATTTCTTAGGTCATTGCTTGTCAGAAAATTTTTATGTGCGAGGAGATGGAACCAGAGTATATTTCTTTACCAAAGGTATGAAATGGTATAGTTTTATAGAAAGGGTTGAGTGTCTCTCAAGATGATTTGTGTTATAAAAGCTCATCTTAGAACAGAAATTTAAAGAAGGTTTTATTGTGATTTTGTTTTAATTCTCTGCTATTACAAAGCCCAAAGCTAACTGTTGTGAGAAAATAATTCCCTTTATGTGTACACTTGTTGCATCTGGGGTCCTGCAAGATTGCTTGCAGACATCACTGGAAATTTCTCTTTGTCTAAGCATCTTGCGTCTAATGGTACACTCAAATTATGTTACTTAAAGACGTACCTGATTTCTTTCTTAAAATTGAGATAAACATGCTTGGGAGGACAGTTGGTAGCAGTGCTCTGATATTTTGTTCTGCTACGTTGGTGAATCTGAGCTGTGAGGCTGCTCTTTCTGCAGGAGCTGAGCTTAAATTCCTTATTATGGATACTATTGCTCTTTGCCTGTCCACTCACTTGGTTCTGTTGGCAGTCAGCTTAGACTGGTATATTTTAGCCCAGCTACTGGAAATGGTGAAAGTGAGCATCACAATACTTTTTTTTTTTTTTTTTTTTTTTTTTTTACCCTCTGCAACCTCAACTGTAAGCCATAGAAGTGGATTAGGATTTATCCCAGCCTGAGTAATTATAGAAGTGAAAAGGAGGATCTGGGACATGTAGGGGAAATCACTTGAATTCAAAGAGCCTTCTCAGTTTTTAACTGTCTTGTTTTGTGCTTACTCATGACAAAGGACCTTAAAGTTTTCCAGTGGTGACTGACAAGAAGGAGATAATGACGTTGGCATAAATGTGTGGATTGTTGTTTGGGCAGGTGAAATAGCTCTATCTCAATACTATGCGAACAGTGACCAAATGACATGCATTTGTTTTCCTCAACTCTGGCATACTGAACCCTCTGAAGAAAGAGGATCCATGAATGCCATGAGTAATAATCAATGTGATTTGGGTCTCAGCATAACATTTTTTACTGTAATATAAATCAAGAGCTGTGAAAATCAATTTCTAACAAAAGACTACTTACAGGCAGTTTCCTTGATTTTTTTTTTATTTTTTTTTTTTTTCTTTTTTCAAATCACAGAACAGATTTAGTTCCATCTTTGGTTGAACTGGAGGGTGTTAATTACTTCCTTCTTTCTATGTCTGTTTCTTTTTTTTTTTATTACAATAATTCTTCATATGAGAAAATAGATGAGGTACGGAACATGTTCAACTTGGCTGGATTAACTGAAGTACAGAATTTAGTTGATCGGCGATTACAAGTAAACAGGAAGAAGAAAGTGAAAATGCAGCGAGTTTGGATACAAAGCAAGTTCCAAAAACCGTTGCTGCTACCTCTGAATAATCCTGAAGAAACCACTGAAAGGCACCCTTAAAGATAATTGTACCGTGAACTCCAGAAACTGAGGCAAATGTGAGTACGTATATTTCCTATAAATCTTGTTTTAGCCACTGAAAAGGAGAAATACATAGAACAGAAAACCTTTCCCTGATTTTTTTTTGTAAATGTATGTGTGTGAAAATGATCTGGGGGGAAAAAAAGGCATTTCTGACTTCTGCTTTGTATGCAATAAAGGGATATGCGTTAATCTATTCATACCTGTGACCAGGCACTATTTTAGTTCCTTGAATATGAATAGTCAATGAGTATAAGCATGTATCTTGTTCCATTTGAAATTCACAACATGTAAAAAGTTTTAGACTGAAGCAGTATTTGTTTCGGAGATCTAGAGAAACAGAATATCTGTTCTCACTATTACTACAAGCTGTGCTGTGTTAATTTCTAAGTCATGTCTCTTTTAACTACTGCGTGTCTTGCAACTGTATTTCCTTTTTGGGGGGAAATTTCTTGATGCATAAATAATGAAGACAAAATCTCTTTCTAATTTGCATGTAAGTTATTATTTCATACTAACTGCATGTGATATGCATAGGTATCAGATTAGTCAGTGATTGGCATCCTCCACTGTGACTGACTTATTCCTCTGAAGTCTCCACTTTCCATCTACATGCTCATCAGAAACTTGCCAAACTCAAGTCTCTGTAACAGCTTAGTGACACATACGTTATATTTAAAGCGCCATAGGTTGTAAACTGAACGTAATGTAGAAAAGAATTACCAAAATGCCAAAAGAGTGCTGAAACCAAATAGTTAACATTTGCCTGGATAAATACAAGCATTATTTTTATGATATATCAGATACACTTGAGGGAGGAGCAAAAAGAGTAGTCCGGAGTACATTTTATTAATATTGTTATGGGGTAATGTAATCACACTAAAATGGCGATCTACATGGCAGCTAGATTTTTGTTGTTTACAGAGAGAGGTTGCTTTCTTAGGGCTTGAGTCTTAGAAAAAAGGCACTGTTTTTGTATTGACCCTGTGGAGAGACAGTAAAAGGACAGGACTACACTGGTACGTCAAGTGCTTTTAAGAAGAAAACCAAAATGCAAACACTGTTTGCAGATGCAGACCATGATACTGAGGCTATTGAGCTAGTATTTAAAGATGCCACTTCTGCTATTTAAATGTAATTTTACAACGACTTAGCCACAAGGAGGAGAGGACAAGCAACAGGTGAATGAATAAAATGTATCTCTTACTTCAACAAGGATATAGAATGCATGTAATCTATAACATGCATGCAGTTTTGAGTGCCATTACTATAATGAAACTCTCGAAGTCTCTTCTCTTGCTTTTGTTTTAATCTGAAGGGTAAGCATGTCACAGCTGACAACCCATTTTTTTTGAAAGTTGTTAGCTGCTAAGCTAAGTAGAACTGATTGTCTTCTAGAAAAAAATAAATTATCTAAATTTAGATGCTAAGTATCTTCATCCCCTTTGACAAGATGAGGGACCTGCTTAATTTCCATAAACCCAGATCTGTTTCAAGAATGAGGTGCAATAAGGGGTCTTTGAAGGTAGGATCTGATCCTGCATTTCTGGTGTATTCTAAAGTCCCATTAGTGTAAGATACTGTTTTATGAATTAAGTGGCTTAGGAAGCTTTGGTTAGCAATGGCATTATTGTAACCTGCAGTAAAACTCCTGTGGTATAAATCAAAAGTTAAAACATAGCTGTGTTTCTTCAAGCCCTAAGTCTTAACAGACTGTAGCATCTGCATGGGAAATGTAAATAAATATCTGGTTATGTTTTAATTAGGTTGCTACCCTGTGCTATTAATCATGACTTCTGAGTATGCATAGCTCTTAGTCTAGTACAAAGCATTTTCAGTTGTAGAATTTTCCAGGGGGTGATGGTGATGATAAGCTCTTGAACATCATGCAGTCTTATTCATGTGTGTGATGTAGATTTTCCATGTGTAGAGGCTAATGAAATGTTTGCTTTGGCTTTCACACTGATAAGTTGATTCTGGCAAGATTTTAATATGCTATGTTGTTAGTTTAACAAAAATGTGACATCAGAAGAAACCAAACCCTGAGTTCTTGTATGGCCTTGAGCAAATTTGGCTGTTTCTTTTCCACACCTTGCAGTGTAAGTATTGGCTGCCTCTTTTAGAATGATGATGCCTGTTTTAGAAGCAATAAGATCAGCTACTATTTGTAAGTGCAGAATATCTACTGTAAAGTGAACTGCAACTATCTGAACAGTTCTAAGATTGATAGAAGGGGAAATGGACAAAGACATCATGCCTGATAAGAACTTTTGAATCTGAGTAGGACTTTCTGTATTTTGTCTTCGTTTCAGTTTTCAAAAAGCCTAATCAAGGACATGTTTTTGAAATACTTTCAAATTATCTGTATTAGTTGGGAAAACTGATATTACAATATTGGCAAAAGAAAGGCAAGTAGAGCTACTGAAATAAAAGAAAGAAAAGAGACCCAGACAACTATATAGGAAATGCAGTTTTAAATGGTTTATTGTTAATTAATTTCTGGGGAAAAGAAAAATTAGGGTATTGCAAACAAAGTGTGCCCAGTATAGACAAAGGCTGTAAGCTTCACTTTTGAAACCTGAAGTTACTTCTTTAATCAGATATGTACCTGAAATGCCTAATTATATAAATTTATAGAAGTACACATTATATAAATACTAAACATTTTAATTGTCAATTCCAAATATTTTTTTTTTTTCAGCATGACTTCCTATGCTGGTAAAGCAGACTTGTGGATGTATACAAATGGCAATTAGAGAAAGATAACGTTGTTAGAATTGAGCTTGGGCTTCATTGGCTTTGGCTTGCTTTATCAATAACGCGTACTTTTTGTCCATCGCCACTGGTATTGCATTACATTTATGGCCAGGGATACATGAGAATGGTGCTTACTGGTTTAGACCTTGCTTAGTTTTTAAGCAAGTACAAGACAGCTATAAAGTAAAGGAAGTGACCAACCTTTTTTCATACACTAATTCTGAAGTAACTAGTCAATAACAATTAACTCATATAAAAAATGTTGTTGTTTTTCCAGCAAAACCAAGGCAGGTGCTTGTGCCATATCTACAAATCCACGGAATCTGAAGAGGACAATCAAAATGCATGGCAGACGGGGAGACAGCAGGAACTCTAGTGACACTAGACAAAAGTTTCTTGTATTGGAAACTGCTGTTTCTGTTTTGTCTTTTGCTTGTGACTCAGCTAATCTGCAGATTCTGCTGTTTAATAATGACTAAAAATTTGTAACAAACCATCCTGAAATTTGTATTAAACACCAGTGGAAATCACTTAACATTAAATTTTGCTACTTCATTTTGATTTGTGGTGTGATCTTTATTCACTGCTCCGGTGTGCTCTTTGATCTGTTGACATATGCCTCATTTCCCCCTTTTCCTGTGCATAGTAGACAATTAAGCAGTTTCCACAGGAGCTATATACACACAAACATTTGCAGCAAAGTTTGCTGGCTGGGTTATTTCTAGGATCAAAGCAAGAGAGTTTTATTTCCTTCTGTACAGAACAGATTGCTTTTTCTTCTTGCGTGAATGCAATGAATTGAATAGATGCTAAATTAATATAGTGGTATTGGCTGTATTTTTTAATTATTTTAAGTGAAATATACCTTAGGGTATGCTGTTTGTAATGGCAGTGATAACAGTAGACAGTTCATACAAAAACCGTTTCTTCTTCACAGAGCATCTTCATAATGGGTGGTTGAACAACCTTGGAAATAAACCATATATACATATTATAAAAATATTAAACGTTGCTATTGTTAATAATACAGGTCACTTTGCCTTTCAGTATCTGCAAACTTTGCTCCACGTTTGGAACAAAGATTCAACATGAGGGGTTTTTTACATCAGTTACGTGCCAGTTGCCATCCTTTTGAGAATCAGCCAGAAACTGGACAAGTCTAAGTCTGTTAAATGCAATTACAATTAGTATATAGTCAGTAAGAACTACATGGATTGCCATGGGAATGTTAGCAGGTTCTTTGTCATACCTGGTGGTCCTGGCATATAGGTCATGCCTGGACAGGGCTTTCAGCTGAGAAGGGGACTTCTCTGTCCGGTGACCATCCTCTACCCTTTGCTAGTACCAAGCAACTAAAAGAAGAACTTACCTAATTCGAAAGCAAGAGCCATACAGGCATGAGGGGAGGAAGATAAAGATGCAGCAGGGTGATGCAGAGTGAGTGTTTCCTCTGGGAAGCGGGGTAACAAGGAAGCTTGGATGGACTGACAAAGCAAGAAGAACGAGATGCAGAACTGAACAGGGAACTGAGGAACAGAACACCATAGGCACCATATAGGCAGAAAATATATAAGAGGAGACAGTGTGGCAGGGTGGGGACATTGGGCCTAGTGAAATGAAATGGAGGCGGCAAGATGAAATAGGGGACTGATCTGTCACAGAAATAGGGTGAAACCTCGGTAAACAAAGAAATTGGGGTTAGGATTGGAGGTGGAAAGACCTATCTTCAAAGTCCTTTTCTCTCAAGTGGTACTGTATTTTCACATCTTAGTGGAATATTATAGGCTTTGTCTTTCATCCATATGTGCACAATGTATTTCAATTTATTACAAAGATGGTATGTTTCATTTGTTGTAGTTTATATGTGCTATGCACATGTTTGCAACAGTGCAGGCAGGTTTATGATACACCTGCTTTTACTTTTTCCTTAGGGAACAATGTTTTTACCTTCTTTCACGTAGAACTCTATAGTGACAGAAGCTACACTCCTAACCTCCTGGGAAGCAAATACAAAAGAATAACAGAAGTGCCTGCATCCTGATTGTGTTCAATCAAGGTAGGACAATTAAATTTACTCCATATGTTCTGATGTTGTCCCGTTTAAATCAAGACCATATCTGCAGATTATCACCTTGAAGTGCCTCCCAATCTCAGTTTCTGTTGTACTTGCATCTGTTCAACAGAACTTAAATGAATTTGTATAAACGAGAAATACAACTTAAAAGGAAAATAGCAGAATAATGTTTAGGCTTTATCTGGGATGATAACAGTTTAGAGAGGGAGCATGTTTATTATTTTAAAACACAGTTGCAGAGGAGCACTCATCCAAGAGGCTGAAAATTTAGGTTATTTGAGATATAATGTACGTCATCGAGAATATTAAACCTAATGTCCATGTTATGAAGCTTTATATACTTAATGTTAGCCAAAGGTATCTTGTCAATTGTTACTGTGAAAAAGGAGTTAGCAAGAAGATCGTTCCATTTTCAGAGGATGTTTTATTGATCAGGTTACTACAATTTTGAAGGGCATATGAAAATTAAGAAAGAAGGTGAATTAGTTTAATGATGACTAAAACCCACTGATTATATATATACTTTAATAAATGCTCAAAGAATAATCTGAGCATACCTGTGGATTGATACTACATTAACTTTTAAGTTCATTAAAAACACAGACTTGGTGTATGCTGCTAGTTATAAAAACAACCAAAATGTTAAAATTTATTAATATTATGTAAAAATAGAATGCTATATAGTTACAAATGTGATGTAAAAATAGAATGCTCTTATAGCTACTGCATAAATCCAGTGTATAGTCTTCTGTGTAGTGTCCTATTCAGCTAGAAAAAAGACACGGTAGAAATAGGTGGTGAAAATTCCTGGAGACATGAAAAAACTTCATATGAAGGCAGGTTAGGGAAATGAATGATAGACAATGTGAGGATGGCATATAACGTTATGTTTTAATATTTAGAAGGTCTAGTTTGTCCCTTTACATGATACAAAAAGCAAGGTAAATTAGTCAAGTCGGCAGACAACAAACCTACGTTGATAAATATATACAGTGTTCCCTATAAAACCACAAGGAATCACGATGTTTATAAGGCTAAAAGATTGGTGAGTTACCAAAAATGGATCATATTAAGTTTTTCCATTTTTATTTTTATATATGTGAGAGGGAAAATCTGCATATTTACTGTTTAAGATTTTAAAATGTCTCCAATAAAAAAACCCGAACAATCCTACAACCTTTCTCATTACCTTTTGTGAGATCCTAATATTGCTCAGCCGTAGAGATGGAGAATAAACCTGAATACAAAATGGGTCTAGTAGGCACAGTTAACTGAATTAAGAAAAGATGGAGGGGGGGAAAAAAGTACAAAAAAGGAGAACATACTAATTGGCATGACAACATGTAGTACTGTAGCAATCATACAGCAGTTAGTATTTTATATAGCATGACAAATTCAGTACAGTGCCTGAGAGAGAGGGAGAGAGACACCAGTCTTAGCACACTTTCCTGTCATGACAATATCACTAAACTGGCATTTGGAAAAGCCAAAAGCCAAAGAACAAACGTAATTCGTTTGCTAAAAGAGCATACAATTGATTAATTATGCTTGGGTCAGACTGGCTGTATTGGAGGGTTTCATTGCAGAGCCAACATTCATTTTTTCTTTCTTTAGTGTCAGGCACACTCTAGCCTGCATTTCCTCCCAAATAACAAGTGCTCTTTAAATGGAGGAGCTGCATCTTTGAACTTGAATAAAAGGGTTGTTGTGCAGCGTAGGATTTAGCAGATGGGCTTAGAGAATCCAAACCTACCACTAGTCTTTTATTCTACACTAGGAAAAGCTTTGCCATTTTTAATGGCTCTGTTTGCTACATACCCTATTAAGCACAGTAGTCAGATGTCATTCTGAGGAATCGGGCAGCTTAGTTTCCAATGACATTGATTACACTCAACAGTGAGAGGATGAGAAAGAGTGGTGGGTGGAGAAGTGAAAAGACAGTGTGAGGCATTTCAAGGAGGAGGTTTGCACTCTAGCACTTGCATGTGGGTGACAATCCCTCCGAGAAACAGTTTTTACTCTGAAGTGGAGCAGAGTTGAATCTTCTGTACTCACTTCAGGTTTAATCTCCATCCTCACAAACTACCAGTGCAGCCTGTAGTTAAATGTGCATTTACTTAAAATGAAGAGAAAATAACAGTAGCAAGAAGCTGCATCTTTAGAATGGAGCTGTGATTTCACAGAGAGAGACCCTGGCTTGTTAATCCCTGGCATAAATGGGTGTAATTTTCAATGACAACACTAAACCTGTTTACACAGAGGCTGAGCTAAACCAAGAGATGATACACAATGCTGTTCAAAATCAATCATGTAATCCTTTTTAAATTTTTGTGATCTAACAACCAAAGATGTTTGTGTTAATAAGAGATCGTGTGACAAAGCTGTGATTGTCACTGAGCATGACTTGCTTTGAGATAAAAATTATGACAAACAAACTCATAATCTTATTTTAGATAAACGTTTCATCCTGTTATTCAAGAGTGAATATTAGTGAGTGGAATAAATAATCAGCAATAGTTACCAAACTGTGAAATAAGGACTATTTTTTAAATTGAAAACAGTCTGAGCTAGCTTATACAAAGAGAGAAGAACAAAATCACGCTGGCAATAAGTCTACATTGTATTTTACTGCAGTTTACAAGGAATCAATATAATCAGCAAGAACCTTGGTTTTAGTTTCTTTTTATTTTGCATGTACTTATTTTAATAACAAATGAAAGCAGATGAAAAAGGAAACTGCATGGCACAGTCTGCAAAGCATGTAAGTGTTATTATATCACTTAAGATATTTAACAAACTACTAAACCAAACTCTTTTCTTCTTGCATCAATTGGCTAGGGGCAGAGTATCAGAAACAGTAAATACTTATTTTACTTTGAAACAATTAATGTTAATAAAAGGCCTCGGGGTTAAATCTGAAAGAAAAAAATCTTTGAATCTTTGACTCAGATTCCCCATGTCACTTAGGTCAATATAAGTCCAGAAGACTCTTAAAGCCTATGGAGTCACATCAAGATGTAGACTAGTTGCTTGCAATTAGAATCCAGATTAACTGGTGCCTAATGTCCCTTGTAAAAATAACAATGCAAACATAGAAGTACAAAAATGTTCTGTCAGTAAGAACATATACATTAATCATTAAAGAACTGAATTCAAAATCAATTGCACAGAGCCAATAGCTTTCTTCACTACTCTTACTTTAAGGGCTGAAATTTTGTTTGTGTTTAAGATGCTCAGATATCTGTTTATATTTTAGTGTAGGATATTCAGAATTTTTAATCAGACAACATTCTCTAACAGGTAGTCAGTATTATGAAACTTGACAACCAATCACATAAGCATGGTTGATTAAGATAAATGATTTACAATAAAATGCTTAAGACATTCATTTTTGCTATGTTTCTCTCTCAAATACTTGAGAAAGTATGCCTATTCTTAAAGTTAACAGTCCTCTGAAGTCCAAA